TCCTGATGGTACCAAAATCCCAAAGTAGCTTTGAGGAGAAGCGGAAGCAATACACGTATTAGTTCTAAATCTAGGCTGACCCCAGGCTCTAATACATGGGAAAAGGAGACCAATTTTCCTTAAACTTCTCTATAACTTTCCTCTTTTGTGCCCTTGTTTTTGAGTTAAGCAGGTTTTACGGAGGAGGCCTTCTAATTTATGGTTTGGGATCCATCTTTTTATTTTGTCCAGGATTGGACATGTTGCTCCGAGTGTGGCCACTTCTATAAAAATATGAAAGTATTTGCCATTGTATTTTTCTTCTCTCTTGTATTTTGCCCTTTTCTGGAATTGCTTTGCCTCACTTAGTAATGATTTCTTCTCCCCAAGTTTTGAGTTGGCCAGATATGTGTGGATGCTGAAAGTTTTTTTCTAGATTACTTTATGTAAGGAAAATATTTCCTACAACCCTAAGAAACAATACAAAGAAATACCAAAAGGGTTCTTCTGAATGGCGCAAATTAGCATTGCATTTCACTCTACGGTAATTACTAAGATTGTAGCTTAAGCCAGGGACATACATTTGGGCTGCTTTTGTAAAAGCCTTCTCTCCTATATTTGCAGAGAGCATCCAATATTTTTTTGGGGAGGGAAAGAGGAATGGTCAGCTTATCATACCATTAAAATCAGGTTCATCGTAATGCTGCATTGTGTTCCTGGTTTTTAAGGAACCCGAAGCAAATGGGTCAAATTGGAGCTACAAGCGATTGCTATGTTTTATTTTCTTTTGTTGCATTTGGCAACAAACAGGCTCCTGTTTGTTGTAACTATGGAAACTTCAGAAGCACCCTTTCAAATGCTGCATATACAATAAAGGGCTTAAAGTGTTGGTTGGATTATAGACTTCAGAATATGTCCAACCTTCTATCTATCTTTTGAAAAAAGAACAAGAGGGTAATGTGAATATTAACCGAGGGCTTTGTTTAATCTCCTGTGACACTTGTGTCTTATGTGCCATCCAGAGGCCTCTGGCTCACAGCTCACGCAGTGGATTAAGGAAAACCATGCATATTCATGGCATTGAATTGGAAAATTGCACAAGAAAAAAAGAAAAAGAAAGAAAGAAAGCTATAAATCCACTACAACACCCAAATCCCTTTTTTAAAGAAACTTGGCAAAGTTCCTCGGAGTAGACTAAAGAGAATAACATGAACAGATAAATAAGATATTCCCTATGTTTTTCTATTGCTAGCATCTATATTGTTTCACAATATTACTTACAGTGCCCTTGAGTTAGGATTTCAGGCTTTACAAATATTCAGAGGGTTTTTCCTTCTTAATTATAGGACTAGTTTACGCAAGGGGTTATTTTAGTTTATGCTGTGTGATGGCAAAAATACGGCATTTTGCAATTTCTGGCTAAATGATGGTGCTTTGGGTGATTGTTATGAAGAAGGACCAATTCATGTGTATCTAAAGCTGATTTATAATCCAATTCTAAGTGTAATTGAAATAATATGCTCCTTATTATGATGCTTGTCGTGTTCATTTTAAGGTGGGATATAAATCCACGCTGAAGCAGTAAGAGCCTATTTTAGATGTTAGCGAGAAATTTATCTCTTTATTTCTTGTTTAATAATCATTAAAGATATATAAGTAGAAATTCAGTGTGCAATAAATCACCTGTTTGATGTATAGCTTATTATCTCTGCTAATGGTAAATTAAAGGTGACAGTGCTAATATTGAAACTATTGTCAAGTCCCAATAGAAGATCATTCTGAAAGCTGTACTCAAGCCAGTGAAATAATGGCAGTCTATGGTCATAGGATTAGGACTGAAATATATGGGAGTCTAGAAGAGAGTATTTGCAGCTCAGGGTTGAACTGGGGGTCCTTGGTATACTCTGAGCTTGGTTGTTTTCTTATAAATGTTTCATTACCCAGCTAGGTAACATCTTCAGTGCTACGTAATGAAATGTTTGCAAGAAAACAGTCAAGCTCAGAGAGTATCAAGGAACCCAAATTGGACTCTTTTCCCCATCTTGGATTTCAGTGATGACTATTTCTTGAAAATCTTATCTCATCATCAAATCTTTCTTATGGGCATAGACCAGCACAAAGAGATTTATTTAAAAACTCTTCCTCTTTTGAATTGCTAAATAATCTGCAGAGCTATTCCTAAATTATGTCAGACACAATCACCGAAATGCAATTGACTTTCTGTCAAGTGATTTCTCATCCATTCTATTTTTTTTTTTTACTATGTGCCACATCAGATTGGCATTATTCAGTTTTTAAAGGTGAACTGCATTCTCAATTTATTGAAAGAAATTGGGTTAATCTCTCACCACCAAATCAAAGGCCCTTGTGCCACTTAAAAAAAAATCTATCTTAAAAAAATTAGGTAGATTAATTGTTCAATATTAAAGTTTTTAAGGTGCTAAAATCTATTTCTCTTTGTCTGAAAACAAGTTATTTATACTTCTCTGGTACTCTACTCTTGGAATACGGGGAACAAACCAGTGAAATCCAATTTTTTTTACTAGCAGTTCTGTGGGCGTGGCTTGGTGGGCATGGCAGGGGAAGGAGACTGCAAAATCCCCATTCCCTCCCCACTCTTGGGGGAAGGATATTGCAAAATCTTCATTCCCTCCCCACTCTGGGGCCAGCCAGAGGTGGTATTTGCCGGTTCTCCGAACTACTCAAAATTGCCGCTACCGGTTCTCCAGATCCTGTCAGAACCTGCTGGATTTCACCCCTGGCGCAAGCGCAATGATGGCATTTGTAGGTTCTCCGAACTGCTCAAAATTTCCGCTACCAGTTCTCCAGAACCTGTCAGAACCTGCTGGATTTCACCCCTGGAACAAACACTATAAATAAATAGTCTCATCCGTTCAAAGATCCAACTTTGTGCTAACTTGGCTTTGTCAGATTTACAAGCAATATTCACCATCCACGTTCTCCAAAATTTCTATAGGTTTTATCCTGATTTTAGTTGGCATTCTTGCCCCACCCAGAAAAGCCTTGCTTGCCTAGGTCTCCCTGTCGGCAAATGGCCGTATGAAACTTAGCAAGAAAATATGAAGGCTCCGAGTGAATTATGCATAGCTTTCTCCTAGATGTGAAGCTACACGTAGCAAATAATTGGTGCCCTACAGGCACGCCGCTTTGTGAGTCAGAATTCCTCCTTCTGTAGGTGCATTGAGAGCAATTATATTTTGTGACATAACATTTCGCTTGCAGCGTTTCCGTAAGTAGTTTTAATGGATATGCTCAGAAAATAGTTTCTATCGATGATAATGGAAATGATTAAACCTCTGTCTAATGTTTGCCTTCAACTTTGCTCAAAGGGGACCACCATGAAAGGATTGTTCAGGGCTATCTTACTTCTTAGCCTCCTGAGCAAATATGTCTTGATAATTTTTTTTTTAAAAAAACCATATTTTACATATTTTACAGAAATACGTTTCAAGCTAAAACAAAGCATTTATGCAAAGGACAACCAATGAAATAAGCAGAGGCATAGAATCCAAATCACGTGAACTATTAGTACCGCTCTATATATCCTTAAGGGAACACGGTGGCTCAGGGGCTGAGACGCTGAGCTTGTCGATCTGAAAGGTTGGCAGTTCAGCGGTTCGAATCCCTAGTGCTGCCTAACGGGGTGAGCTCCCGTTACTTGTCCCAGCTTCTGCCAACCTAGCAGTTCGAAAGCACGTAAAAAATGCAAGTAGAAAAATAGGGACCACCTTTGATGGGAAGGTAACAGCGTTCCGTGAACCTTTGGCGTTGAGTCATGCTGGCCACATGACCATGGAGACGTCTTTGGACAGCGCTGGCTCTTCGGCTTTGAAACAGAGATGAGCACCGTCCCCTAGAGTCGGGAACGACTAGCACATATGTGCGAGGGGAACCTTTACCTTTATATATCCTTAGTAAGACCACACCTAGAATGCAGTATCCAGTTTTCATCACCACGTTACAAAAAAGACGTGGAGACTTTGGAAAAAGTGCAGAGAAGAACAACTAAGATGATTAAGGGCCTGGAGACTAAAACATATGAAGAACGGTTGCAGGAATTGGGTTTGGCTAATCTAGAGAAAAGAAGGACTTGGGGAGGACATGATAGTATTTCAGTATTTGAGGGGCTACCACAAAGAAGAGAGGGATCAACTTATTTTCCAAAGCACCAGAAGGCAAGACAAGAAACAACAGATGGAAACTAATCAAGGAGAGAAGCAACCTGGAATTAAGGAGAAACTTCCTAACAGTGAGGACAATTAACCAGTGGAACAGCTTGCCTTCAGATGTTGTGGGTGCTTCATCATTGGAGGTTTTTAAGAAAAGACTGGGCAGCTACCTGTCTGAAAAGGCATAGAGTCTCCTGCTTGAACAAGGGGTTGGACTAGAAGACCTCTAAGGTTCCTTCCACCTCTATTCTTACTGAAATGATGCAGAGTAAGAAGAAAAAGCCATTAAAATTTAAGAGGGGGAAAAACACTTATCTACGTCTGGGTTTATTGTTCTGCAGCTGTGATCTTGCAGACATTTAAAGTAAACCGTGTTTAAGTACAGTGGTGTTTACATTTCTGTTGACATATATAGGATCGTGCCATAAGTCTCATTCCTGTGGTTAAACCCATTTCGTTTTAGGCTCTGGAGTGTTAGCATAAACTTTGACATCTTTCTAGTAGCTTGTTCTTAAATCGATCCTTTAAAGATATGGAGGGATTTCTGTTTCCTAAAGGTTTTATTTTATGGCTACAACATACATATAAATATATGATATTGATCTTAATTCTGCAATGCACCTTTTCAGAGCTGGCCTGCCTGTGCTCCGCTCAGCCGTTAATCCTAACCTGTTTTTTCCCCCAACACAAACGAATGTGCTTTTTAAAAATAGTTGAAATAAATAATACTACTTGCTTGAATGGATGCATGCATGTTATGCTTTCCCCCATATTTAGACTTTAGCTTGCACCAAAATGAAGTTGCAGAAATTCCTTGACACCGTTGAACAGTTATAAACCAGTGGGCAGTTTACGCCATTCATAACCTGACAGAAGAAAACGAGAGGAACCAGGAATTCATTGCCCGGATGGAACAGCAAGGCCCTGCGGATAATCCGGTCCTTGAGAGCCTGGGGCTGAAAATCGAGTCGAAAGATCAGAAGCTGACTTTAAAATCTGTGAAACAGATGCCAGATCCATAAGTTGCTACCTACAAAAGACTTTTCCCCCCCCATAAAGGAAATATATATATTTGTTCTAGATGTGAGATCAATAAAACATCAAATGAACTTTTCAGTGGTTGTTTTGGGGACTGATTTTTTGAAAATACCGTATTTTTTGGAGTATAAGACACACCTTTTTCTCCCAAAAAAGAGGGTGAAAATCGGGGTGCGTCTTATACTCCGAATGTAGCCCCGCCCAGCCTCTCCAATGGAGGGGCAATTTTTTCAGAGGCTGAAAAAAGCATCAGAAACGAAGCTTCAGAAAAAAAGCCTCAGAAACGAAGCTTCAGAAAAAAAGCCTCAGAAACGAAGCTTCAGAAAAAAGCCTCAGAAACGGAGCTTCAGAAAAAAAGCCTCCAAACAGAGCTTCAGAAAAAAAGACTCTGAAAGGACGTTTCAGAGGCTTTTTTTCTGAAGCTCTGTTTCGGACGCTTTCAGAGGCAGAAAAAAAAAGTTTTTCCTGAAACAGAGTTTCAGAAGTTTCAGAAGCAGAAAAAAAAGCAAGACACAGAGCTCAAAACCAACAAACCTGTTGCTAAAATTCACCTCTGGGAACAGCTGATTCGGGGTATTCCGGGAGGCACCAATCAGCTTTTTTCTTATTTTCCTTCCCAAAAACTAAGGTGCGTCTTATACTCCGAAAAATATGGTAAGTCAAAAGGAATCCATTGGTGTTATGGGAGTCTTGGAGTCAAGGCAAGGAACATGGAAATTGTAGTTTTTGTTTCTGAAACATTTAGTTGCAACTATAGGTTTTACAGCTTCCATCACTCAGTAGTTTTCTATAATCAATGTGATTCTACTGGTAACACAATATAATTTGTGATTGATGTGGTGCCTGCAACTCCATAACCACTCTTTTCTCTTCTCTTCTTTCCCTTCCTTTCCTCTCTTCTCTCTTCTAAAATTAATCCTACATTGGATAAGACCCACTATGCTTCCGATGAAGGGAGCTGCAACTTTCTAAGGCTTCTGAAGCCTTTTAATAAAATGTGTTAATCATAAAAGGTGTTACCAGAATCCTTCTGAATTTTGGCTGCAAGAGATTTAACTCTGCTGTCCTCCTACAATGCTCACTTACTGAGTGAGAAATATGGGCACAAATGAAGATCATCCCTTCCAGCAGTGGTGGGTTTCAAAATTTTTTACTACCGATTCTGTGGGTGTGGCTTGGTGGGCATGGCATGGCATGGCTTGGTGGCTGTGGCAGGGGAAGGATACTGTAAAATCTCCATTCTCACTCCACTCCAGGGGAAGGTTACTGCAAAATCCCCATTTCCTCCCGATCAGCTGGGACTCAGGAGGCAGAGAATAGATGGGGGCGGGGCCAGTCAGAAGTGGTATTTACCAGTTCTCCGAACTACTCAAAATTTCCACTACCGGTTCTCCAGAACTGGTCAGAACCTGCTGAAACCCACCTCTGCCTTTCAGAGTGAACAAAACTGCACGTAAATGAAAATTGTACCAGGTCTACAACTGTTTGTGGCCTGTATTTAACTATTTGCTTGAGGAAAGTATTTGCATTTAACTCCTGTGTAAGTTTCCCGCAAGTCTTTTTTGAACAAATGGGAGATCCCATATGCCCAAAACACAAGCTCCCATTTTGCAAAAGACTTAGAAACAGAAATAAAGGCCATTAGATTCACTCATGGAGTTTTTTTTTTTTCAGTGGCCGCCCGAAGGGATGAAATACGCTCTAGTTCATTTTACCACCAACTATTTCTCAGTACTTGTTTGACAAATGCCTGTTTCTTCTACCAAAATGCAAAAAAAAAGCTTAAATGTTTTTTTAAGACAGAACAGCAATAAGTACCACTTGTATTTGGGGAGCATTATTTATTTTTTACGACGGGAATTAAGTACTGAAACTGTGTTGCTGCAGGCAGGCAGCTTGGTGGCCTTATCTGTTTTTAGAGAACTGGATGCTTGTTTGAATTTTATTAGTTTCCTTGGTAAGGCAGCCCACTTCCCCTTTTCTTAATTTTTGATTCTCATGGGCTGTTTCTGAACTCTGGAAGTCTTAAGTGGTAGTTTCTCACTGTGATTAATTCTACCCCGTTTCTTTTCACCCCCTGCCTTTCCAAAACATTGACAAAACCCATTTCCAGTTAATTAATTCAAGAGAGCTAGAAGAATGGAAGCTGCCCCTCTCTTATTTTGGAGACCCTTCTGTATTGTTATTGAACTCAGCCACTTTGGAAGGAGGGGGGATGGAAATGAATTGGGGTGAGAGAGGCAGCAGTCAATTAACTTCCCATGCCCCAAACTGTTTGCCTCTAGGGTTTTGTGTGTATGTGTGTGGGGGTGTTGCTTTTGATTTTAACTGATTTCATATATCCAATTTTGCGATTTCATATATCCAATTTTGTGCTCAAAGTCCAGGAGAACAAATCTTGTTCAAGATAAGGGTTATTTCAAGACATTAGTTTTTCTCTGTGGTCCTCATTCTGTACAAACCAGGATGGACATATGCTATAAAACACAGTTCCTTTTAAATGGGTCTGATTACACTGCTGGTTTAAAATTAACCTCTTGCAAATATTCCTTCACTCCCCTAAGTAAAACAGAAAAGAAATCTGGTTTGGCAAAATATATTACATTTCTTGAAGAACGGTGCATTTTGCAAGATTATTTTTATGCATGCTACATTGATATAAATATGCTGATATAAATATAAATACGTTGATACCTTCTAAATCTAAAGGCAATCTTGTGTGTTGTCTCTGCTCTTAAACTCTTCATGACTTTGGGCCCAACTCCACTGAGAGAATAACTTCTAACACTTAACAGCTTCGATAGCTACCACTTCTGAGTAAGACAAACAAAACTCCCATCTAACTTCGTATTTGAAGATGCCTCCCTGCCTGGGCAGAAATTTTGGAAACTAGGCAGTGGAAGAGGGTAGAGATGGGAGAAATACCTAGACTGAATAGCCAAGAAGCAGATACAGACAGAGATAAAGATTCTAGAGAGGAATTTAGGAGGCAAATTAAAAAAAAGCAGAGCAATTAAAGTATTGAAACGGGCAAGAGACGATGGATAGATGATTTCTCTTTTTTGTTGTTCTGATTTGCTTTCCCTTTTCTCTCTCTCTTCTTTCTTTAGGTAGGTGACATGACTAGAAGTTAGGTAGGATAGAAAGAAAATGTTTTTTTAGTAAAAGGTGACATGATTAAAAGTTAGAATAAGTGATAGAAATAAGAGAAAGGAATGTTAGTGTATACACTTTTAGATAAAACAAAAGTAACAATAAGAGAAAACATGGAATAATTGAATAATGACAGATTGCAACTTATTTTAATTGTGTATCATTATTAGGATTGAATGTAATAACTATGATTAATTTTACTAGTTTTATTAGAATGTAGGACACCCAGATGCCACACTGTTCACACATTGATTTGATGTGTTTGTAAATAAAAAATAAAAAACATTAAAAAAGATGCCTTCCTGAAGAAGAAGCTGAGCCCAAGTCAGTTCTGAAGGCTGAAATGAAAACGCAAGGTATTCAAAACGATGCACGTAATGTCTGCCCCGTTTAAGAAGAATGTTGAAAATCTGCTTTCCTCTTTTGAAGGAGATTTCAAGGAAGGAGTAGAGCAGTAATAAATGAACTGAGAGGTTGGGGCAGGGGGGTGGGGTAGGGGTAGTGGGGGAGACAGTGTTTTTGTGTTCTGGCTTGTATTGATTTGGTTATTTGTTGACGATTGTAATGGAGAAGAGGTGAGATCTGAAAGGGTGACCTGAGGCGCTTTCATAGTGGAAAACATGCTGATTACTGTATTGAGAGTGTCTGCCTTTTGATTCCCCAGAATGGGCGAATTCCCTGAGCACAACAGCTCCCCTGTTTCTCCTCAGTGAGGTGGTGTCTTGAAAGGGCTGTGTTTTCCATGCTAGAGGATTAAAACAGGCCATCCATGGGTGAGTCTGAAAAGCTTTTCCGAGCCTGAAAGGAGAGCGTAGTTGGCTCAAGTCTTGTGGCAATCTGATGGCTTTCAAGAGTATGTAAACAAAAGCTCTCCCCTTTTTTTCTTTAAGCATCAATGAGGGTCAGATTTTCATGACAATGGCGGCTGAGTTCTCCCGGGTGCAAGCTTTAATTTGCGAAGAGGAAGGTATGAATCCATTCCAGTTGAATTGGAATGCTGTGCTTTTTAGTAGCTCCTGAATTGCTCTGGCTTTTGTGCGGTCGTAGACCAAGCAGCCCTGTCTTGCCAGTAGAGAAATTTTAGGGAAACCCTGCTGATAATTTCTGGTTGGTTGGTTGGTTGACATCAACTTTGTTTCTCAACCTTGGTGACTTAAAGATGTTTATTTTATTTATGTATTTGTCAAGCATGTATAAGATAACAGATATAAGTATAAACATGATTATGGACACAGGAAATGGATACGAATAAATGGGGACAATAGGACAGGGACGGTAGGCACGTTGGTGCGCTTATGCACACCTCTTACAGACCTCTTAGGAATGGGGTGAGGTCAACAGTAGACAATCTAAGGTTAAAGTTATGGGGGGTTTGGGATGAAACCACAGAGTCGGTAGTGCATTCCAGGCGTTGACCACTCTGTTGCTGAAGTTGTCTTTTCTGCAATCAAGTTTGGAGTGGTTTACCTTAAGTTTGTATCTCTTGTGTGCTCGTGTATTGTAGTTGAAGCTGAAGTAGTCATTGACAGATAGGAGGTTGTAGCAGGTAATTTTGTGTACTACGCTTAGGTTAGACTGAAGGCAGCGTAGTTCTAAATTGTCTAAGCCCAAAATTTCAAGCCTGGTGCCATAAGGTATTCTGTTGCGAGCAGAGGAGTGGAGGACTCTTCTTGTGAAATATCTCTGGACTCGCTCACTTGTATTAATGTCCGATATGTAGTGTGGGTTCCAGACAGATGCGCTGTATTCGAGAATAGGTCTAGCAAATGTTTTGTATAGTTAGCAGTACAATATTACCAGAGAAGAAGCTACACAAGATTAGGTTAACAACTCTTAATGCCTTTTTGGCAGTGTTGTTACAGTGGGCTCTGGCACTTAGATCATTAGAGATAAGTACTCCAAGATCCTTGACAGAGTGAGGGTCA